ATATGTGCACATGTGTCTCTGTGTCTGCTAAGAAGGCCTAAAAGTAGCAACAATGAGCACAGAGCTAGAGGCCACACAATGGTTTCTAAATACCACTCTCCACTAAAGAGAACCATGACTCCTTGGAAAAACAACTGATCCCAGGGAGGGAACATGGAAAATACAAAATGATCCAGAAAGTAGCAAAGTACTTCTAAAAAGATTCACAGGGGCATATGATTCAGTTCAGGGGCATAAGGTTCCCACTATCCAAGTCAGGGGCATTCTAAACATCAAGATAACTTATCCTAATGGATTATAATCCATTGAGTAAAATAAGAATCCATGAGTTCACATAGTATATATGGATAAATATAAAAATAGGATAGGAGGGAAAGCTCTTCATTGCTGGTGAATGCAGTTAATAAACATACTAGAGGCTAGGTGTGGTGATCCACACCTGTAATTCTAGCACTTGGGAGGCTGAGGCAGGAGGATAGCCATGAGTTCGAGGCCAGCCGTGGGCTACATAGTGAGTTCAAGGCCAGCCTGAACTATGTAGTGAGACCCTGGCTCAAAAAAAACAAACCAACAATAGCAACAACAACCAAAACACCCATACAACAGATGATGAAGTTAGAAGATCATCAGTGGATGCTAAAATGAATGGGTAATAGGTGAAAGTGTGATAGGGCAAAGCATTTCACCACAACTTATTAACTACAAAGTAGAAGAAAAAAAATTCCAGAAACTTTTCAGAGGAAAACATGGTAGATACCATTAATCAAGTAATCAAAGCTAACATTATCAATATAGGACAAGCAACACCATGCACCGCAGGATATGATGTACTGAGGATCATCACTTAACCTGAAACTCATTACAGGGAAACATCTGACAAATGCAAACCCAGAGACTTTTCACTCTTTTTTTTTTTTTGGTACCGGGGATCGAACTCGGATCCTTGCACTTGCAGGGCAGGCGGCTGCACCACTGAGCTAAATCCCCAGCACTTTTCACTCTTAATGAATGTACCTGGACCTTTCAAAACAATCAGGGTCAAGAAATGTAAAGAATGGCTGAAGGATTGTTTCAGGTTAAAGGATACTAAAGAGACACTGCAGCTAAGTGCGTTCAGGGATTTCTTCTGGACAGGGAGAAAAAAAACATAAAGCTTAGATATTCTTGGAACAATTATTGAACTGTAAGTATGTTCTTTAGATTAAATATTATACAGTGTTGTATCAATGTTAAATTGTCTTATTTTGATAACTGATGTGGTTTTTTAAGAGAATGTCCTTGTTCTTAGCAATGCACACAAAAATGAGCTTGTCTCCAACTTTCTCTCAAATAGTCAAGTGAAATATACATATAGATATAAATATATGTAGAGAAAAAGTAACAAAACTAATAAATCTAGGCCCAAGTTTATGAGAGTTCCTTGTACTATTCTGGCACATTTTTCCCATGTATGCTTGAAACTATAGCAAAAGACAAAGTTCTAGTTGAAATGGAAATTCAGAAAAGGAAAAAGCTAATCACCTTTAATGCCACTACTCCAACAAGACTGCTATATTCATTTCTCTATGTGGCTCCTTCAAGTCCTTGTTTATGGGCAGGCACACAGTTGTAATCCTTACATAAAAGCAATTCCTACCTCTAAATTTCAAACGTTCAAGCTTAGCTTCCAATTTAAAAAAATTCAACAACCCAACTATCCAAATCCTTAATCAGGGAATGAATAAACCAACTGCAGTAAATCCACACAACAGAATACTACTGAGCAATAAAAAGTAACAAATTACTGATACTATACACAATAAAGTGGATGAGTCTCAAATGCCTTATATGCTAAGTAAAAGAAGCCAGCCTCAAAGGCTTTTTGATTTCACTCACATGACATTCATGAAAAGGGAAAACTATGGGAGCGGAAAAAGATGAGTGGTTGCCAGAGATGAAAGGGTGGGAGGGACAGTTGACAAGATATACAAGGAATTAGGGGAAGGGTAGAATTATTCTATATCTTGACTTTGGTGGTAGTTATATAACTAGACAGGCTATGTATGCCAAAACTTGCAGATATGTACTAAAAAGATACATTTTGCTATATGTAAATTAAACCTTACTTTTTAAAAAAGAAACATGTAACAAAGCCAAGTTTAGAAATAGTTTCCCTTTAACCCAGTACAGAGTGCAAATTTATTCTGTCTGCATCATAAAAACTTTCTATTTATATCAAAAGGTCAGGAGGATGTTTTAATCAAAGTTGACACATGTTCAAAACTGGCCTAATTAAAGAAAAATTTAACTGTACATCAAATACATTTGTCACAGTTCTTAACTATGACCTCTTCTCTTCATTTTCAAGACCCTGTTTCAGCACAAACAATTCTCCACACTACTGCAACAGCCTTCTAAGCATTTGGGCTTCTGTCCTCTCCTCCACTGAACTCAAAGAAACACCAGATAGATATAGTGAACACAGAACATAACCAACCACATGATCTTCTGATAAACCCATATTCTACGAGATAAATCCCTAACTCCTGAGCATAGCATTTGAAGTGCTTGGAGACCAAGTTGTACTGTTACTATTGCCCATGCAGTACGGACTCTGCCCTCCTCTCAGGCCCAGATGAAAGAACTTACCCTCCACCCACCCACACAGCACTACTTGCCAAACTTCCTTATATTTTCTTTTTTTTTTCCTGGAAATTTTTTAAGCAATAGATTTGTGTGTGGTTCTATGGTTACTTTTTAAAGTTTTTAGTTTTCATTAGTACATGTTGGCAGTATATAATGATTACATTTCTTGTGGGAAGGTGGTACAGGTACACAACACATCTTAAGAGTTTTTTACATCTCCTTCCCCTAAATGTTTATACATACAGGCCTGGACTGCCCTTTCTCCTACCCTTCTGCTGGATACACTTAGTTATCCCCATTCAAAATTTATCTTCTTTTATTTTTACTTTTTACTGTTTTTCAGTACTGGGGGATTGAACCAGGGAACGCTGAGCTATATCCCCAGACCCTTTTAATTTTATTTTAGATAGGGTCATGCCCAGGCTACCCTAGAACCTGTGGTCCTTCTGACCCAGCCTCCCACATAGGTGAAATTATAGGTGCACCACAACACTCAGCCTCAAACATACCTTCCTGCAAGCTACAGCACTTGAAAAAAGTATGTCTGCCTTCCCCACATACTTAGAGGATTATACCTGGGGTGCCTGAGCATTCAGCAGTTGCTCCATAACAGCTAGCTCATTTAGTAAGCAAATCAGTTTATATGCCATGTGTAGCTTATAATTTTATTTGCAGCATCAGAATTAAAATTTTCCTAATTTGGCTTTTAACGAGTGAGTGATATTTCATCAGTAAACCTATCAATCATATCAGCAATATGTATTTCAAATCAAACTCCTTTAGTCATTAATACATCACCTGGATTTTTTTCAAGTTTCTGTCTTTCCAGAAATAACCCTAGGTAACATGAGCAACTCCTTCTCCCAACGATTTAGACTCCTAAAAATAATGAAACTATGAGAATTCCACATTTAAAACTGAATCTGTTGCCCAAAGTTCATAACTTTCTACTCCGAGAAAGTTATACAAATTATGCTGGCTCTGGTGGCTCTCCCTAGTTCTGCTTTTACTAAGTATTTTTGACTTCAGGTATAGACTGGATGGAATGCCAGAATCAGTACAGAATCAGCAAATCAGATTTAGTAGCAAACAAGATTCAGTGTCTTTTATCTGACTCAGTTTGGTAAACATTTACTCACTATGGGAGACACTCCAAGGGCAGGGGAATTCAGACTTAGGCCTCAAGTATTTCATGTAACTGTTAATTAGACAAGCTACACTACAATACAACCAAACCAAAATTGCAATAAGACCCAAAAGCTGCGGATATTTAAAAGGAGATAGTACTTGAGATGGGTCGGAAAGAAAAAACTTTTACCAAAGAAATGACATTCTGGGTCAAGAAAGATAAGACGGAAGAGACCCAAGAGCTTGCAAAAGGTAAGAATATAAGGTATTCTGTAAAAGGAGTGTATCTCACATCACTTGTGAACAAATGGTATGAGTAAATAACTAAATAATTACTAAAATTTCAGGTGATAAAATGGAGCCAATTAGCATTAATACCTAAGGCACAACTACAAAGAATAAGACAAGGACATCGACTTCATTCAGAGCAGCTTTACCTGACCTGAGCGGTGAGGTAAGAAACTAGATTGAGGTATTTCAGCAAAGATGGCCCCACAAAATGGCTCATCATGAAAGAGAATAATTAAAGCAAGCAGAAAAGTAGTTTTGTTTTGTTTTTTAAGTAAGTTTTGTTTTGTTTTTGCTGACAAAGGGAAAGAGCCGGTGAAGGAGGAAAGATTCAAAAGCAGGTGTATGTAATATGTGGAATAAAGTTAGAGAGTGGTTGGAAACACAAGCATGCAAAGGAGAAAGCTGGACCTTGAAAAGGAAAGACCCCTTCTCAAAGAGGTGACAAAGAAGTTCCAGGATTCTAGAAGGTACCTGGAGCCTTGAAGAGTGCAGGCATTTGAAGGAGAGGAGGAAAGTCAGTAAGAAACAAAAAGAATTTTAGCAGCAACAGGGCTTGGCCAGGTTTAGAAACATACATTTGCAAAGACCCAATGTCACACGTATTTAGTGGCTTTCTCTAAACCACCTCATAAGCCTGAGATGCCAGCTGTGGAAAAGGAAACCAAAAAGTGACTTGCTTAAACTCCACGAGGTGCCAGAACTGAGACCAGCAGCCAGCCGCTTGGGCTTCTGGCAAAGAATTCTCCTTTGACTACACTGCCTTCTCTTGACGGAACAGAATTTCCCTAAGGCTGGTTAAATTTAAAAGCCTGTGGCCTGTTTTAAAGCCGTGTGAGCAAAGCGATGTAATGACATACTTTCCCTGGAATACCAGACAATAAAATTAGGATGTTTTACACGGAAAGCATCAACTGTGAAAAGTCATAAGGATGAACTAAATTCAGAATGCCACTTACCTGGCGGCTTCCGGAAAACCCATCCTGTACAGTGTCACTACAACCGCTCCACCAAGGCCTAAATTGTGCTGCAGAGCCACCTTTGCACCGGGAACTTGCATCTTTCCGGCTTCCCCTCTCAGCTGCCAGCAGAGTTCTGCACATTGAGCCAGACCTGGCCAATAGAACACAGATTAGGAAGCGGCCTCCACCAGCTTTCTCGAGCCAGCAAAGGGCTAGCAACTAATCATGACTTTTAATTAAAGCATTTAAATCGGGACCATGTTTGCCTCAGTAACTTCTCTGAAAGCACGGAAGGGTTTTACAGATTGTGTCTCCCCTCCCAAGAAATCTGTATTTAGACAATATCCAGGCCTAAGAAATGCTCTTTATACCTATTCAAGCTGTCGTTTTCTGGCACGTTGAAAGCGAAGACAATATACAATTCACCAGCCCGGGAAAAACAACATACAAATAATTGAACTAATTTTACCACTTTAAATGTATCAGAAAAAAATAATCTAGGATTTGGAGATCACTTTTCCTAAAATATCTGGGTGGTAAAAGGAATTTTTCCTATTTTTTCCCCAAGTAGTTCCCAACAAGTATGAACTGTTTTCCAAAAGTGTTCTCAGCTATTGCAAGGAAACGCCTGGATTCACAAGCATAGTATTATGTCCCTTGGAAAATAAGATCAAAGATTTTTAGAGCTGTAGGGAACTTAATAATGTAAACACAGAAAGTTTAAACAATCTGTGGATAGTAAATAATTAGCAAACTAATTCCAGAGTTAAGATTAGAACCCATATCTCAAGATTTTTTAAAAAATTCTTTTATTGGTACATTTTAGGTATATACCTTTACATGATGCATCTTGGTTCTTATCTTTTCCCCATTCCTAGCCCTCCCTTCACCCCCTCCACCCTTCCCTATTTACAAAGACT